GCTGCCGTTATAAATATCAGCCCATTACGGAGGCAGTTTTAATGAACGAAAATGACTTGCTGCTCTTCACGCTGAGCATTGCGTGGGTTCCTTACCCCGCTAAGAGGTAAAAGGCAGCGAGGGGAGCTGCTCCGCGCTCCTCCGAGGGACTCTGCTGTGGGACAGCCACCATGGGCCTTCGGGGTGGGCTCATTTCCATCAACAGCACTTCTCACTAGCTTGAAATGCAGGATCAGAGCAGCTATTGAGGAGCCCATGAGTATTTTTTTCCCCAGAGTGCCATAAAATCTGAACATCCATAAGGATGGTGATTAGGTTTTACCGCGGTGCGTGGGCGAGAGGCTGTGGTGACCCTGGTAGACGGGCACCGTTCCCTGTCCGGGAGGAGCCTTCCCCGTTTCAACGCTGCTTTGCTCCCTGCAGTTTCACGGCCCATGGCGGACACCATATTCGGCAGCGGCGCGGGCCACTGGGTCTGCCCCAACGACCGGCAGCTGGCCCTGCGTGCCAAGTGAGTCCCCCGCGCTGCGCTCGGGTCCCCCATGCTCCCAGGGCTGGCACGGGGCAGCCCTGCTTCTCCACCCGTGTTAACTTGCTGCTTAACTGCAAGGAGAGGGGACGGGGATGAGCCAAGCACTGGGATTGTGTTTGGGAGCAGCGTGGGGCTCTGCCATGGCCACCTCCCTCCTCTATCCGCTCTCCTTGAGGAGATTGGAGCTCGTCCCGCATTGGAGGGGATGGATGAGTGGGAGCCTGGGTGCTGCTGTCCCGGCCTTCACCTGGGCGCCTCGTTAAAGCAGCTGCCTCCGGAGCCTGCGCTCTGCAGCTGCGGCTTTACCCAGTGACCTGCAAACCCCTCCTGACCGGGAGTTAATTGAGCTGTAAAAGCTGCCTCGGAGAGAGCCAGGGAGAAATGTCAGCTCTTGTGCGCGAGGAGCCGCTGGGAGCTGGAGCCGCGGCCCGCGGGAGGCCGGGGCAGGAGGGTGAAGGCTGCAGGTGGCCCCTCGGCTCTGGAGCCGGCGCTTGCAGTTCTTGGCTGGGTGTCTTTGCAAGGATCCTCCCCAAGGCAACCTAGCCCTAGATGTACTGTTTTATTCTTAATGATATGCTCTGTGTGACCCCAGTCCATAGGGCAGAGGAGAAGGGGAGTGAGGAGGTGGAGGATAAAATCCCAGCGGGCCCAGAAAGGGAAATCGAGGGGTAGGGAGAAGGAGAGCAGCCCTTTGCAGAGCCGGGAGAGCACAAGGAGGCTCCTGCCTTGTGGCTCAGCCAAGCCAGGCTTTTCCGAGGGAGCCTGATGCTTGTGGGGCCAGGCAGGGCTGCTGTCCTTGCTGAACGGCCCCCTCGCTGCCCTCCCGCAGGCTGCAGACGGGCTGGTCCGTGCACACCTTCCAGACGGAGAAGCAGAGGAAGACGCAGGCCCTGAGCCCGCAGGAGCACGAGGTCATCCTGGAAGTCATCCGCAAGGCGGAGAAATTGGACATCATTGAGCAGCAGCGCATCGGGTACAGTCACGTCCGCCTGTCCCTGTCCCCCAGAAGGAAAGGTCAGCGTGGGTGGATCAGCTCCCAGGATCAGACACCGTTAGCTCCCTTCTCCTCCCCCTCCTGCATTGCTCTCTTGGAGGTGATGAAGGCTGGGGAGGACGTGCCTCATCCTCCTCCCCAGGGCTCAGGCCTTTCTCTTGCCTTCTTTGAGCCTCGGGGCTTGCTTGGATTGCAGCTGCTGGCACAGTCCTTGGAAAACGCAGCCTGCTCCAAGGCGGCTGCCCCAGCGGCTCTGGAAAAGCCTTGGGAAGAGGCCAGGCGGGAGCGGGAGGGCACGGCTCGGAGCGCGCCTGGCAGCGCACGAGGCTTCCCCCGTCTGCAACAGCCCCAGGGATTTTGCCTGGAGCAGGGAATGAGTTTGTGTTCTAACTGTCTGACTGCTCTGGAAGCGGCTGTTACCTTAAATTATTTAATTTATGGGCATCTTCCTCCTCCTTTTCGCTGCTGCAAAATTTCGCTTGCTTTTGCTCCTGCTGGAGGGCTGCCACCTAAAGCAGCAGGGTTCAGTGTGCACTAGGGAGAACGGGCCATGGTGCCCGTGGGACACGAGGAGACCACAGCCACCCCGAGGGGCTGGTCCCACATGTGGCTGCAGCTGCAGGAGCTTCCCCCTCGCTGCTCCCCTGCTCCCTTAAATGCCTCTAAACATCTTCTGTGGTGCTGGAGCCACAGATGGTGGATGCAGTGATGCCGGCGTGGCCGGGCTCTGCTGTCTGACCCCCTCGCCAGGGGCAGCCCCTCTTGCAAACAGAGCTCGCAGGCCTCGCAGCGGGGTCGGGTTGATGGGACATTAGCACTAATGAGCAGGGGGAGGCAGGGACAGCAGGGCAGCGCTGCGGCTGCTCCAGCCTCTGACAAACGGCCTGGCTCTCATCCCGCCTCCGCGAGCGGATGCCCGAGCCTGCCCGGCAGGAAGCTCCCAGCTGCGGCCTCGCTCCGTGTGCTTTCCACATCCTGCATCCTAATGGCTTCTCTTTCCTTCCTTCCCTCTCGCGGCCCTCGCTCTGGACGCAGGCGCTTCCTGTTTTCCGAGCAGGTCGTTGAGCCAAGCAGAGGGCAGTTCCTGGGATTCCTGTGTTGGAACTGGGCTCCTGGGGGTCTGGTGGCTTCTGATGGCTTCCTGCTCCCAATGAGTCGTGGGTCCACAGGGCTGTGCTCAGAGAATGGGTGTGAGGACCTCTCTGCTTTAGCTCCTCTGCTCTTTCCTGCTGTGCTGGCTTTCCTGATCCCAGCCGTCCTTGCTCTTGTGACCCCAGGGGCAGGAGATTGTGGTGCAGCACGAGGGATATTTTGCTCAGATTCCCAAGCTGGTTATCCAGACTGGGAGAGGTCTAGGCCAGCTGGGATCCCCTGAAGGCCCCAGCCTGCTTGTAGGAGGCACTGAGTGCAGAGGATGACCTGAAAGCACCTGTGGTCCTAGCAAGGTGCTGCAGAAGCAGCAGTGATGGGCTGAGCCTGGAGCCCTGGTCTGTCTTCCCCGAGCCACTGTGCATCGTGTGCTCGTGTCACCGAGGGGGCTCCGAGGGTCTAAGCTCTGCCTTATGTCACGAAAAGGGCTCCGGGGGCCTCTGCCTTGTGTCACTGAGGGGGTCTGGGGGTCTAAGCTCTGCCTTGTGTTACTGAGGGAGTTCCAGGGGGTCTAAGCTGTGCCTTGCCTCACTGAGGGGGCTCTGAGGGTCTAAGCTTTGCCTTGTGTCACCGAGGAGGTTCTGGGGATCTAAGCTGTGCCTTGCTGCCTGCAGGCGCCTGGTGGAGCGGCTGGAGAACATGCGCAAGAACGCAATGGGCAACGGGCTCTCGCAGTGCCTGCTCTGCGGCGAGCTGCTCGGGCTGCTGGGCAGCACCTCGGTCTTCTGCCAGGACTGCAAGAAGGTGGGTTTGCTCCCTGGAGCACGGCCTGGAGAGCACGGCTGCTTGGGCAGGGCCTGCAGGGCTTTACTGCTGTTCGCTGCAAGCTCTCTCCTTAGATATCCCAATTACACACGTTTTGAGGGGGCAAAAAACTCAAGTCCACCTTCAAGCTCCCGACCAACGTTGCGTTTCCAACCTGGCCCGTCAGCCTGTGCTTCGGTGCCCGTCTCTGTGCGTGGATGCTGCGTGGCACGAGCCAGGGCAGCGTTTTCCACAGAGATGCCCGGAGCCGGGCAGCCGTGGGTTAAGCGGTGTAGCTGCCGAGATGGAGATCTCCAAGGCAACCACCTCACCCTCCCTCAGCCGGGAGCTGTTTTTCCTGCGCTCCGAGCCCTTCCCGGGGGAGATGGCTCTGTGTGTGAGCACCTTCGCTTACCCCAAGGAAGGGGTAGCTCAGGCAGCAGCACCAGGGTACCGGGAAGCGCAAAGTCTGGTTGCAACGGGAGCTGTGGTGCAAATCTGCCTTGAAGAGCGTGGGTCAGCGGTGCAGCCCTCCCCTCTCTTCTGGCAGCACCCCATGAGCTAGCGAGGAGCCCCAGGCTCCCAGAGGCTTTTTTTTTTCCTTTTTTTTTTTTTTCTTTTTTTTTTTTTTTTTTGGAGTTATTCCTCTTTTTTCCTGGAGTCTGGGGCCGCTCAGGAAGATGCAAATACAAGTTGGTGCAAGGTGAGGTAGTGCTTCCCAGCAGGTGTTTTGCATCTGCCTTCAGCTGAGCGCACCGTGCAAGGTGCCAGCAAGGCAGGTCGGGATCCTTGTCCCCTTCTGACTCCTCCGTGTCACCCTGTGAACGGCGGGAGCAGCCGGCTGCCCGGAGCTCGCTCCCTCCTCCCAGCCCATCCATCACTCGTGCAGTGCTGCATGCAGTGAGCAATGACTTGCAAGGGAATTATGGATTTTTTTTTTAAAAGTTCATATTTTCTCTTGCTAGTGTTGCTCTATTACTGCCTCATTGGAAAGTCATTGTAGCTCATTTAGTTCAATAACAGGAATTGTTGCAGGGATGCGTCTGAAACGTAGCTATGAACTTACCTTCAGTAAGTGGCTTTTTTCTCCCCACAAAATAGAGGTTCTGTAGCTCTTGCAGCCAGATGGATTTTCTAAGTGCCGTTCTAGCATCTATAGGTCAAAATGAAGAACACTTTTAATATTAGTTTTATTATCTTAGAAGTGTGTTATGCAAGACAGGTGTGTGAAAATATAGACCTATTAGCAGGAGCAGTTCAACAAAGCATAATGTGCGATTTAGCATGCAGGGGATATCGGCGTTGTGTGTAAAAGGTGAGATATAAGGAAGAGAAGAAAATGCTCTTCCTTGTATTTAACGAGGAGCAACATTGCATTTAGTGTCCTTGATTTTTGTTTTCTCCAGAGCAACTGGGGGTGTTGCTCACTTTTCCAGCTAATCTGCAGAGAAGGGGAGGAGGAAAAGCCCTGTGTTATACTGAGCTTTTAAAATTTATGGCTAGAAAGAAAAATATTGTGGAAACTTCCGCTAGAGGGAGTGTTAGAATGCGCTATATGTGTGGGGATGGGAATCCTGGAGGGTAAATATGCCTGAGTTGGTCCTTGGTCCTGGCTCTCCCTTAGATGGGGAGGTTAAACTGGCCCGTCTCCCCCAGCAAGGTGCTGCTCCCCAGCTCCCAGTGGCTTTTCCTCTGGGAGGATCAGGGAATTCATCCCATTTCCCGCTCAAGCTGCAAGCCAAGCCTGATGCACATTCCCTGGATAACACTGGGTGATTTGGGGCTGTAAATGGCTCCTGAGGCCGGCGGGGATGTGCGGGAGCTGCCGAGTGCTGGTGGGTTCAAGGGAAGGCCGTGGGGCTTGAGGCTGCATGTGCGGAGAAGGGGAGAGGAGGGTTCCCATCTTGCCCAAACACGCCCTCATTTAACACCCATTAATGCAGGTTTTGATATTTGCTTCAGTCTGTGTTTTGAACTATCAAACCAGTGCTCGTTTTATGCTTAGTTGCTTGTCAGGAATGACATATAATTCTCTGGAAATGTCTGTTCCAGTGGTTCAATCTGCCCTGCCTGGCGCTCATCCCGGCCTGGAGTCGGGGGCTCTGGTGCAGGTCGCATGTGTCTCGCATCCATAAAGGGCAGAGGCAGCTTCCTGGGATCATCATTTCTCTGGAGTAAACAAGAGAATTATGCTGTGGTTAGGTTTTTAAGGAAAGCAAAACAAGACTGTTGGGTCAGATGCTCCTCAGCCTTCTCCCTGCTGAGGGCTGTGGGGAAGCGAGGTGCTAACACCCCCCTTTTTTCTCCTTATTTCAGAAAGTTTGCACCAAATGTGGAATTGAAACTATTGGAAGCCAGAAACGTCCTCTTTGGCTGTGCAAGATCTGCAGCGAGCAGAGAGAGGTACTGTCCTCATCCCCATGTCTGGGCAGCAGGAGGGAGCTGCGCATGGGGCTTGTCCCTGCGTCATGGGGCTTTCTTAACTATGGCTGTAAAAAGCTCTTACCTTCTGCTGCTGTGCAGTCCCTGCTCCAAGGCAAACACTTGTTCTTTCGTGCAGCTGGGGAACCTATAGCTGCAGTACTTGTCCCTCTAAAAATAACTATCATTGCAGCTTCCAAGTCTGTCCCGTACCCCCACAAATCCCAAAACTCAGCAAATGTCCAGCAGAAGCCTAAATTTTTATATGCTTCATCCTTGTCTTTCCATTACAAAATAAATAGCCTGTATCTGCCAGGCAGCATCCACCAAGTCCAGGGCTCACTGCTGCACAGTGAAGTCTGTGAAGCTGCTCAGGGATTGCAGTGGGATTTGCACTTTTTCCCATGGTTTTTTTCTTTTGTGGGGACTTTGCTCGTGGTCCCCAAGCATCATCCCAGTGCAGCAGCTATTCCTGCCCGCTGCAGCCAGCCCTGGTGCTCTGCTACATCCATTCAAGTGTTTGTTTTTAAGCAGAGCCAGAGCATTTCTGCAGGTGTTTAAGATGGTGAAATAGTTATGGATACTTAGCATTGCTCGGGTCTTAAAGAGGATTGTGTGGAGGGGAGAAGGTGCAAAGTTCATGTCCAAGGTCAGATAGGAGTCCCTGAATGCTGTGTCTCTGCTCTCTGTCTCTGTTTTTGAACAGCAGTGTCACTAGGGTTGCAGGAGCCCTGCACTGCCCTGGGCATTGCAGAATCATCCAGGTGCTGGATTCCAGGTGGAGGCCCCAACATGGAGAGGGAGGCAGGTCAGGATAGTCTCTGGGTTTTGCAACGCAGTGGGTGCAGAATTAAATGGACTTCTTCTGTTTTTTCTCTTGCTCTGTATGTATTTTTTTTCTCTTTCCTGCAGTATTTGCATTGTAATTGCTTGCTTTTTTTTTCCTCTTCCAATTTCTAATAAAAAATAATGAGGAGCCACAGTTGCTAGACAGAGCAGAACATTAACCTGTGCAGGAGGGCGCACACGAGGGTGCCGTAACCTTCAGCGCTTTCTCGCTCCGTGAATCCCGCGGTCTGGCCGAAGCGCCTCTCTGATGAAAACGGATGGAGCCTCCCTTCCCAGAGCAGCTGAAAAACAGCCTCATCTTTCCTCCCAGTCCTAAGCTTCATCTTTATTCTATTTTTTTGGTTCCCTTTGGGGTCAGTTGAGGGCTGCCTCGTCTCCCGCGTGCGGAGGGGCCGGTGCCCTGGCCGGGAGGTGCCGCGGGGGGATGCGGCTCCGAGCCGTCCGCCCACCCGTCTCCCACGCGCTCCGCTTGGATGTCGGGGGAGGCAGGAGAGCAGAGAGAGTTGGCAGAGGCCTCCAGACATGTCGGCCCGGCAATATCAGATTAAATGCCTGAAAAGCGCGTCCGTGCTTTTGGCTTTGATCAGAGCTGCCCTTCGAGTCTGGCAGGAGAGGAACAAGGTTTTCGGGCCCCGGGCCAGTGGCTGGAGCTCCTGCAGCTGGTTTGGGTGCCGTGATATTTACGGAGCAGGCACAAAAGAGGCAGGTTTCTTTGCAGGCCTTGTGCTTATGACCAATTCCACGGTGCCGTCTGCTTCTGTGCTTGGGATCTGTCCTGTGCTGCCATCTGCTCTGGACTCAACCCATTTGGCCACGCTCTCTGCTGAAGGTTACATCTGCCATCAGCGAGTGCAGATGGATGTCTGCTCTTTGGG